CATCATAGTGCCAGTTCAAGTCCTGGCTACTCCATTTCCAATCCAGTTCTCTGCTAATGCTCCTGGGAAAGCAACAGAAGATGGCTGAAGTACTTGAGCAGCTGACAGCCACATGGAAGACCAAGATGGAGTTCTGGGATCTTGGCTTCAGGCTAAAGCCATATGGAGAGTGAATCAGCAGATAAAGATCGATCTCTCTCTCCCTCTCATTCAATTGTCTACTTAAAATGAATGGAAATACATAAATTTTTATAAGCATAATTTCCACTTTATTTTCTAAAATTATGATTAAATAATTCACAAGCTTTTAAAATACATGTTCATTACAGAAGAGAGATAATATCCCTTCATCTATTTTTAATTCATTTTAAACAACTTTTAATTGATAAAATTAAATTTAAGCACATCTATATTTTCCTTTGATTAAAGGTAAAGAAAGTAAAAAACTTCAATTATAAAATTCTATTTCAATATTATAAATAATAATAATCTGTGATTTGTTTTTTCCCACTTATATAATATAGTATTAAATGATAGACTTTGCCTGCTGTACAGTGAGGTTCTTATTTTTATCAATTAAAAAAAGAAATGTATACATTTTGAAATAAAAGAAAATGAAGCCACCTTAAGCTACTTTTTAATTTCAGTGTAATTTTCCTTTGAAAGTTCATGATATTCTTTCACTATTTTTATGATATTTATGCAATAAGTTAAAACTGGAAGAAAATATAAACAATATATTCACAAAATAACTTCAGATTCCCCTCCACTTACTCCCTCTCAAGGGAGTATGGCATTATATTGGACTTTATGTAATATTACTTACAAAAATTAAATGTACAAATTTTTCTTTTAAGCCATTTTTTAAAACAGAAGAACATGTTTTAGAAACTTAAGAGATTACAATTGTTCTGTGAATCCCTGACTTTGGCTTACTCTGTCATCAAGACTGTAACACTTTTCCTTGACTATCAGCAGCTCTAGGTACACTGGTAAACATTAAAGCAAACCCAGCCTTTGTTCTCATCTTTCTGTTTTCATATTAGCAAACCTAACCAGGCATAGTATAGCTGTCCAATTCACAAAATACGCATACTATAGCATCGGAGGGTATCACAGCCATATATTTTAAAGGACTCATTGAGCCCTGAAAGGCAAATGCTGTCATTCAAGTTCTAATTACATGCTACCTGAGTTTTACAGAACTGAAAAAGAAAATGAAACTGTACTTCCTAAATATATTTTTGAACCACAAACAACCTCCAAAAATGTATAAATGCCCCAAATACGTCCTGAACGTATCATTGTGTAATAGCTCAGGCATTGTCCTATTCAATTACATTCTAGTTTCTCTGTATACTGCTGCTACTTGATAAATGAATCAATAGATGCCAAGTCAAATATTCAAGTAAATATACTTTCATTGTTATTGGCAGACATATAATTAACTCTGAAAATAAAAGATACAAGAAATCAATTATGATTACTTCTTCAGTTCTTCTCATTAGTCATTTATATTATAATTGTAGTTCCACTTTAAAAATCTTTAAACACACACATACACACAAGCACAACCCATCTTGACTATAATTGTAAATCAAATTAGTTCAATTACAAATTAGTATTGTACGAACTGTGAACCTTATGTTAATTTTATTAGTAAGATACAAGTGTATTATTAACTACATATATGAGCTGATTAAAAAGCAATGCACATTTATGAGCCTATTAAATTAGTAATTCAGCACATGTTTCTAAACAATGTTAGGGATTTGCTCTGTCTTCTAATACAAACATTTGAATCAACATTTTGTTTATTTATGTGTATATATCAACAAATTACATTTCCACATTTGGGCAAAACAGTCTACTAACAAAGAAAATATAAAGAATGAAACTTTTTTAACAAAGAAAATATTACAAAGAGTAAATATTTTATTTTAAATGACATTTATTATCTGTCAAGTCAATAGCATCACCAATCTAGAAGAAATGTATTTTATATAAAAACTTACATAAGTGACCTTTTAAAAATATTTCCCTAGATGCAAAGTTTCAGATATATGAGAATTTCATGATGAAAAAAGTTTATGATAAGCTTAGGAAATATGTTTTAATAAAATACGCTGTCATTACTCAATTGTTTCATTATGGTAGTTTAATTGTTTTTAAATTATGTTCATGAACAAGCCGCTTAACCTCTCTGTCTCCTCACTTATAAAAAGGAAATAATGCTGGTGCATTATCACAGCATTCTTGTTAAGATTAAAGTAGTTAACACAAGTAAAGAATTTAGAACAGTGCCTAGCATGTAAGCAGTCACCAAGTGTTAAGTATGCACTTCTTAGTTACACATATTGTGCCTATTCTTTTTTTTTTTTTTTTAAGATTTATTTATGTGAAAGGCAGAGTTAGAGAGAGGCAGAGGCAGAAATAGAGAGAGAGAGGTCTTCCAACGGCTGGTTCACTCCCCAGATGGCCGCAATGGCTGGAGCTGAGCTGATCCGAAGCCAGCAGCCAGGAGCTTCTTCGAGGTCTCCCATATAGTTTCCCAAGAACTTGGACCATCTTCTGCTTTCCCAGGTCATAACAGAGAGCTGGGTCAGAAGTAGAGCAGCCAGGACTCGAACCAGCACCCATATGGGATGCTGGCACCGCAGGCAGAGGTGCCCGCTGCACCACAGCACCAGCCTCAACCTATTGTTTCTATGAGCTTCTAGTTATCAATCTTGAAAGTATCTTAATTCATTTTCAAATAAAAAGAAGCTATACCCTGACTTTAAAAAAAAAAAAAAGATATTTATTTGAAAGGCAGAGAAAAGAGACACAGAAAGAGAGACACAGAGAGAAAGAAAGAGAGACACAGAGAGAAAAAAGAGAGTATCCATCTACTGCTTCACTCCCCAAATGGCCACAAGAGTTAGGTCTGGGCTATGCCAAAGCCAGAAGCCAGGAAGTCCATCTAGGTCTCCTTTATGGGTGGCAGAGGCTCCAAGCACTTGAGCCATCTTCTGCTGCCTTCCCAGATACATGAGCAGGAAGCTGGATCAGAAGCAAAGGAGTGGGACTCCAAGTGCTGCTCTGATATGGGATGCCAGACAAGAGGTGGTTTAACTTGCTGCACCTCAATGCTGGCCCCATCCTGACATTCTTGATGTTTTGCCCATCCCACCAACTTCTGGTACTGCTGTTAGTAGCTAGTGTATCTGCTATTTACAGGCACAACAGCAGCCAGGGTCTCACCAAAATTATGGTTTCAAAATCTATAGCACTCTCCCACACACGGGCTGGAGAGACACAGAAAGGCTGGTCAACTGAGTTACAGTCAGAGAGAGGAGAGAGAAGTCCTGGTGTTCTACTGCACAGTAAGTTGACTACAGACAATGACAGGGTACTGCAAACTCCAAAAGAGCCAGAAGAAAGAGTTTTGAATGTTTCACTACAAAGATATGATAAATGAGCAGACAGACATGCTTAACCTGATTTGAACATTACACAACATATATATGTATGTATCAAAACATCACATGGTGCCCCCAAAATATACACATTTTTGTGTCAGTTAAGAAATAAGCATTCTCCTTCATATCTACCACACTATTAGTACCCACTGATTCTTTCAACACATTAACATACACCACATGCTAGGCACTCACTAGATACAGGCAGTGGAGGAAAAAGGCAAGAAAGATTCCAGATATGTTGCTAACAGAATTGCAGAGGATACAAACACAAACAATAACTATGTATTGTTACTTAATAAAATTTTTCTACCAAGATGTCCACAGGAGAGCTTTAAGGGTGGCATTTGAGCAAGACCAGGAAAGAGGAGCTGAAGCTCAATAGGCAAATAAAGGTTCTTTGATTAAAGGTTCTTTGATTATCTTATTCACAAAGGAAACTGAAAATTCCTCACAGTGGCAAGTTAAAATAGACACATTTGAAGTAAACAGACTCCTTCAATCAGACTTCCCATTGCACACAGCTTCTTAGTTCATTGTTGGGAGTTGAATAAATATTTTTCAGCAATTGTCTATCCCCACCCACAGTGAGGCCCTCCTTGTGACATCCTTGCATGGTGTTTTCAGCTTCCTCACTAATTGTTTCCATTTTTCTAGGCACAGCCCAGAGATCTTCCTAAAACTACTTTTACCACACTGTTCCCTGTCAAAAATCGGCAGTGGTTGCCTTCTAGTCCCAGACATCAGTCCTCTGCCTTGACCAGGTCCCTCTTCCAATATATCTTGGGCAAATCTGCTTCCATCCTGTGTTCCAAATGCTTTTCTGCTACTATGAGGGTACTCCAAAAAGTTCACAGAAAAACTGAACTAAAAGGTATATATTTGCTTTGGTGCAAAAAAAAACCTTTTGAAATGCACTCACAGTTTGGGCATTTTCCACAGACATTTTGAAGACCCTTCATATATTTTTCTTTGCTTCTCCAAATTCACATTTTCCCTCCAAAACTCTCCTACAAGAAAGTATCAGACTCTCCTGCTTCTACTTAAAATAACAGAACTTTACAGAGATGAAGAAAAGAGAAAATGCTAGTGGAAAAAGTATATACTGCTGGATGAGAGACATGTTCAACGTGGGGTAGAGAACAGAAACAGGCAGAGTCATTTGAAAGCTACAACCAAGCCATTATATCAACATAGCACACTTAAATTATTTATTACTCAAAATTTATACAGCGCACCAACTACTTATTGAACAATTACTCTTCCAATGGCACTGTGCTCTATTAAAATCTTAAACATCCTGCAAAACGGCCAAAGAATTCTTCATTACTAAAAATGGTTTCTTTAGGGCAAGTTCATCTAAAACAGTAGGTGTCACTGGATTCAGATCCCTACATGCTACCAGGCAACACGGAACTACATGAACCAGCACACAAGCAGTGGGCTTCCCACCTGCAGGACAACTCGTTAGTGAAATCGTCCCAAAAGGGCAAGACAGGCTTTTTCAAGCCCTAATTAGCACACTCTGCAGGTGAGCACCTTAGATTCCAACTTGACCTGCTCTTCATTCAACTCCTCGGCTGCTTGCTTCATTTTTTCTCGGCACCTGGTTATGTCCGACCGTACTGCAATGAAAATTAGACGTTTAGATAACATCAGTCTTTCCCAAGCCCCCATGTCGGTAGCACGTGGTCAGACACCTGCACACGGAAAGCAAACTCCCCCAACTGCACCCACCGACCACGGCCTCGTCGCCCAGCGCCCAGCCCCCAGCCCGGAGGCCCCGGCGGCGGCGGAGGCAGAGGCCCGACCTTCTCGCAGCGCTCGGCGGCTCTGCTCGGCCTGGTTCTCGCTGCAGAGAATGTGCTGGAACAAGGATTCCAAGCTCATCTCCCCGGCTCCTGCGGACCCCTTTCCCGGCGTTAAATATTCTCTGACGGAGTCTGAGGATCCTGGAAAGCACAGCAAGGGATCCTCCGGGGCTCTTCCCACACAGCCGGCCTCCCGCTCCCTGCCCGCGGCGAGCCCAGGGGGTCCCGGGACCCCCTGTCACACTTCACACACCCAGGCTTCCTCCCTCATGCCCTGAACCACGAGTTTCCCTGGCTGCCTTCTTCCCTGACAGGCTCCCGGGCCCTCCCGGGTTTCCTTCTTGCTCTGCCTACAGAAAACTATGGAACCCGGGCCTCGGCTTCCGAGGGGTCGGGGCAGCAGCCCTTCCTGTGCCCGCTCTGTCCTAGGGATGGCGCCCCAAAGTGCGCTTTCCCTCAACTACATCGTACTTGCTGTCAACACCAAAGGCCGACACCGCCCCTCAGAGGGACGGGCGCGCCAGGTCGGGTTTGCGCGGGAAGTTCGCCTACGGCGGCTCCTTGGGTCCATTCTGAGTTCGCGGTGGTTTGCGAAAGACCTTGGGGCCCCCCGTGGGGCGTTACTGGACTTGGGGTGCTCAGTCTGCAAGGCAGAAACACTCGGCATAGAAAGTAAGAAGAATCCGTGATTCTAAATATAGACTTTTAAAGACTTATTCTTTGACGATAGCAAAGACTGCTATAAATGTGCGATGTCTGACATTCCGCCTTAATCATTCCTTTGAAATCAGGGCATATCTTTTTTGTCTGCTTTACAATTAATCATTGCCTTTTGTAATCAAGCTGCGGTATTATTAACACTTCAATATCTGTGCAATGTGTCAGAGACCAAAGTGGTTACTAATTAAAGCTTAAACATGAAAGGCACCTTTGGGACTTCTGCATGGGGTTTTTTAAATTAAAAAATAAGATATTTCTGGTTTCCGTAGGTCAAAATATTGATATTATAATAAACATCTGAATTTATTTCTGAATGTAAAATAGACATTGGTTAAACTTTAAAAAGTAATTTCTAGTTAGAATGTATTTATAATTGAGGAAAATAATGTAAAACTAAAGTGTCATGTCATCTTATATATGTAAAATAAGGTACATGTAAGTTATTGCATCCCAACAGAGTTAGTTACTATCTCTTTAATACTGTAGTATAATTTAAATTTCTTTTTTTAATATTTTTTTAACTTTTATTTAATGAATATAAATTTCCAAAGTACAGAATATTGATTACAATGACTTCCCCCCCATAACGTCCCTCCAACCCGCAACCCTCCCCTTATCCACTCCCTCTCCCCTTCCATTCACATCAAGATTCATTTTCGATTCTCTTTATATACAGAAGATCCGTTTAGCATACATTAAGTAAAGATTTCAACAGTTTGCTCCCACACAGAAACATAAAGTGAAAAATACTGTTTGAGTACTAGTTATAGCATTAAATCTCAATGTACAGCACACTAAGGACAAAGATCCTACATGAGGAGTAAGTGCACAGTGACTCCTGTTGTTGACTTAACAAATTGACACTCTTGTTTATGGCATCAGTAATCACCCTAGGCTCTTGTCATGAGCTGCCAAGGCTATGGAAGCCCCCTGGGTTCACTGACTCTGATCATTTTTATTTATTTATTTTTTTTTTTTTGACAGGCAGAGTGGACAGTGAGAGAGAGAGACAGAGAGAAAGGTCTTCCTTTGCCGTTGGTTCACCCTCCAATGGCCGCCGCGGCCGGCGCGCTGCAGCCGGCGCACCGCGCTGATCCGATGGCAGGAGCCAGGAGCCAGGTGCTTTTCCTGGTCTCCCATGGGGTGCAGGGCCCAAGCACCTGGGCCATCCTCCACTGCACTCCCTGGCCACAGCAGAGGGCTGGCCTGGAAGAGGGGCAACCGGGACAGAATCCGGCGCCCCGACCGGGACTAGAACCCGGTGTGCCGGCGCCGCTAGGCGGAGGATTAGCCTAGTGAGCCGCGGCGCCGGCCGCTCTGATCATTTTTAGACATGGCCATGGTCAAAGTGGAAGTTCTCTCCTCCCTTCAGAGAAAGGTACCTCCTTCTTTGATGACCCATTTTTTCCACTGGGATCTCACTCGTGGAGATCTTTCATTTAGGTTTTTTTTTTTTCCCCCAGAGTGTCTTGACCTTCCATGCCTGAAATACTCTCATGGGCTTTTCAGCTGGATCCGCATGCCTTAAGGGCTGATTCTGAGGCCAGAGTGCTGTTAGGACATTTGCCATTCTATGGGTCTGCTGTGTATCTCACTTCCCATGTTGGACCATTCTCTCCCTTTTTGATTCTATCAGCTAGTATTTGCAGACACTAGTCTTGTTTATGTGATCCCTTTGGTTCTTAGTCCTATCATTATGATCAATTGTGAACAGAAATTGATCACTGGGACTAGTGAGATGGCATTGGTACATGCCACCTTGATGGGATTGAATTCGAATCCCCTGGTATGTTTCTAACTCTACCGTTTGAGGTAAGTCAGCTTGAGCGTGTCCCGAATTGCACATCTCTTCCCTCTCTTATTCCCACTCTTATATTTAACAGCGATCACTTTTCAGTTAAGTTTCAGCACTTAAGAAGAATTGTGTATTGATTACAGTATTCAACCAAAAGTATTAAGTAGAACAAACAAAAAAAATACTAAGAGGGATAACATATCAAGTTGCTCATCAACAGTCAGGGTGAGGGCTGATCAAGTCACCATTTCTCATAGTGTTCATTTCACTTTAACAGGTTTCCTTTTTGGTGCTCAGTTAGTTGTCACCTATCAAGGAGAACAAGTGGTATTTGTCCCTTTGGGATTGGCTTATTTCACTCAACATAATGTTTTCCAGATTCCTAACAGGGATCACTTTTCAGTTAAAATTTAAACACCTAAGAATAATTGTGTGTTAATTACAGAGTTCAACCAATGGTACTAGAACAAAAAAAAATACTAAAATGGATAAAGTATTACATTGTACATCAACCGTCAGGACAAGAGCTGATCAAGTCACTGTTTCTCGCAGTGTCCATTTCACTTCAACAAATTTCCCCTTTGGTGCTCAGTTAGTTGTTGCCAATCAGGGAGAACATATGATATTTGTCCCTTTGGGACTGGCTTAATTCACACAGCATGATGTTTTCCAAATTCCTCCATCCTGTTGCAAATGACTGGGTTTCGTTGTTTTTGACTGCTGTATAGTATTCTATAGAGTACATGTCCCATAATTTCTTTATCCAGTCTACTGTTGATGGGCATTTGGGTTGGTTCCAGGTCTTAGCTATTGTGAATTGAGCTGCAATAAACATTAATGTGCAGACTGCCTTTTTGTTTGCCAATTTAAATTCCTTTGGGTAAATTCCAAGGAGTGGGATGGCTGGGTTGAATGGTAGGGTTATCTTCAGGTTTCTGAGGAATCTCCAACCTAGTCCTAATTCACATTTCCAACTTAATTCCGTTATCATGCAGGCATAAAACTTAATTCTTTCTTTCGTTCCTTCTCTCTCTTTCATTATGTGAAAAAGTGAGAAAGAGAGAGAGTGAGAGAACGTCCATCTGCTGGCTCCCTTCCAAAATGGCCACAACAGCCAGGGCTAAAGTCAGGAGCCAGGAACTCCATCTGGGTCTCCCTCTGCTTCTTTTCCTAAGTGCGTTAACAGGGAGCTGGATCAGAAGCTTGAGTAACCAGGGCCTGACCCAGGCACTTTGATATAGGATGAGGGCATCGCAAGTGGTAGCTTAACCTGCTGAGCCACAACACCCACCCTATAAAGCTTATTTTTAACATGATTATGAAAGAATACATACCGGAGGTTGGCATTGTGGCGCAGCGAGTTAAGCTGCCACCCACAACACTGGCATCTTATATTAGGGTGCCAGTTGGAGTTTTGGCTGTTCTGCATCCTATCTGCCAACTTGCTAATGTGCCTGGGAACGCTGGGAAAGGTGGTCCAAGCACTCAGGCCCCTGCCATACTTGTGGGATACCTGGATGGAGTTCCAGGCTCTTGGCTTGGCAAGGCCCAGCCCCTGCTGTCGTGGCCGTTTGGGGAGTGAACCAGAAGATAGAAGATTCTCTGTCTCTCCCTACATCTCTCTCTGTCTCTGTCTTTTCCTTTGTTCCCTGCCCCCATCCCGTGCCAAGAAAACTTTATTTAAGGTATACAAACTTCATGCATTTCGTAAATACAACTTCAGGAACATACTGATTCTTCCCACCATACCTGCATTCCCACTCCACTTCCTCCTCCCTCCCATATTCCCATTCTTATTTTTCACTATGATCCATTTTCAATTAACTTTATACATATAAGATTAACTCTATACTAAGTAAAGAGCTCAGCAAATAGTACGGAAAAAAATACCATTTCTCAATAGTCAAGACAAGGGCTGCTCAAAGTCATCACATCTCAAAGTGTCAATTTCAATTCGATAGATTACCTTTTAGGTGCTCTATTTGTTACTACAAATCAGTGAGACATTTGGTATTTGTCCTTTTGGGACCGGTTTATTTGACTAAGTATAATGTTTTCTGGTTTCATCCATTTTGTTACAAACAACAGGATTTCTTTTTTTACCATTGTATTATATTATAAGGTATACGTATCCCATAATTTCTTTGTCCTGTTTTCAGTTGACAGACATTTGGGCTGATTCCATGTCTTAGCTGTTGTGAATGGAGGTACAGATAACTCTTTCCTATGCTGATTTCATTTTGTTTGGGTAAATTCCCAGGAATGGGATGGATAGGTCATATGGTAGGTCTCTATTCAGATTTCTGAGGTATCTCCTTACTGTCTTCCACAGTGACTGTACCATTTTACATTCCCACCAATGGTGGACTACAGCCAGCATTTGTTGTTTGTTGATTTCTGTATGAAAGTCATTCTTACCAGGGTGAGGTGAAACCTCATTGTGGTTTTGATTTGCATTTCCCTAATAGCTAATGATCCAGAAAATTTTTCTATGTGTCTGTTGTGCCCTGTAAGTAGGTGCATATGTTTATTATAGTTATATCTTCCTGCTGAATTGATCCCTTAATAATTATATAATGCCTTTCTTTGTCTTTTTTAACAGTTTTGTGTTAAAGTCTATTTTGTCTGATATTAGGATAAATACACCAGCTCTTTTTTAGTTTCTGATAGCATGGAATATCTTTTTCCATTCTTTCAATTTCAGTCTGCATGTATATTTGTTGGTGAGATGTGTTTCTTGTAGGTAGCAAATAGTTGGGTTTTGTTTTTTTTTTTTTTTCCCTCTTCCTCTTTTTTTTTTTTTTTTTAAACTTTTATTTAATGCATATAAATTTCCAAAGTACGACTTATGGATTACAATGGCTTTCCCCCCATACCGTCCCTCCCACCCACAACCCTCCCCTTTCCCATTTTTGTTTTTTAATCCATTCAGCAAGCTGTATCTTTTAACTGGAGAGTTGAGTCATTTACATTCAAGATGACTATTGATAAGTAATGACTTGGCCCTGTCATTTTTCCGTAAATATTCCCATTATTTACTTTGGATTTACTTTGTACTTTTACTGGGAGATTTTCTGCCTTCACCATCTTTCATAGTGATGACCATGCTTCTGTGTTTCTGTGTGTAGCACATCTTTAAGCATCTTTTTGTAAGGCT